GATAAAAGTTTATCAGAGCCTGATTTGAATGTATAGCATGTATTTATTTATTTTTTAGTTTTTGTAACTCAGAAGTTGCTGCTTTACAACGAAACTGCTATGATTGTTTGCGCGGACTCCGGCGCGCTGGGAGGAGCGGGAGTCTGTCCGGCGCCGGACAGGACAGCAGTCAGTACACGCCGGCACCCGTCCCGCCTAAAGCCCCGCTGACCCGCGCCCACCTCACCTCACCTCACTCACACGCACACGGTGCAACGTCCAGGGGGTCCAAGGTCACGGCCTGGCCGGATCCGACAGCTGAAAAATAAAAGTTATTTAATCAAAATAATCAAATAACACTATTGGGCTTTCCTTTGGCATAGAGGATGATGATGCGATAGGAACAAGTTAGGCGTACTTTATTTTCTTGTGCTTCGCGTAAAGTTGGTTTCTCAATGAGTACTTTGAATATTCTGGGCGGCGGATCAACCCCGCTGACTTCTGTAGTTATACTGTGCCGCACGCACGACTGCGGGCGGGCTTGCCTATCGCCTTTGTCCACGGCGCCTTGCGGGCCAAGTCAGTAGGCAACCCGCCCGCACCTAAGAATGCGGCACAGTATTTCAAAAGTGCGCGGGGTGAATCAGCCACCCGGTACTTTGAACCCTTCAGCGCCGAGGCGGCGAATACAGACTAATCTACTTTCAAAGGAGAGTTGATACGAGGTCGGGTCTGTCTCGTACCACCCGTCCGCCCGCGGCCCGGCCTGGCCGCCCTATTGCCAGTAATATGTCGAGTCATCGGGCGCCTCTGCTTCGGACATATCACTGGCCAACAGGTGCTACATACAAATCCTGCGAACGTAGCGCCGCGCGGGTTCGGGCTAACCGCCGCAGACGATAGCCTCTCAGCGAGCGCGCGAGCCTGGATAGCAGCAGTAGTCGCGTGGTCCTTCCCCCTCCATCATTGGTCTCGATATACGACGAACACGGGGGGGGGGGGGGGGGGGTCCGCCACCACCGCCACGCCCTGGGCCCGGCGACGGGCTCAGCTCGGGCCCCGACTGCCATCTGACAGTCTCTGTTGCGTACTTATCCAATTCGTCTCGGCTGCCTATTCAGTCCGACCGGAGGCGGCGCCGTGGTGACAGCACAGCCTAAGGTAAGTATGAGTAGTGAGTAGTGCGCCGAGGGTGACCGTGCCCAGCCCAGCCCGGCCCGGCGAGGTCCTCTGGCTCGGTCACTCTCTTCTTGGCACAGTTTCATACTTTTGTTTATTGATTACGCCCCCCCCCCC